GCCCGGGGTGCAGACCTCACGAGCTCCTTCCCCGCCTGCTGCCTCGGTGCACGGCCATTTACCAAAATGGCCATTGTTTTTGCAATGTGGCCACTGAGTTTCCAAGCAGGGGGATCAGGTAGTTTTAGGCCAGGGTGAAATTAGTGCTCTAAGGGTTTCTGAAAACTACATTTGGAGGGGGTTTTTTCTTCTCCCGCCTGTTCCTAGGTGCTGGCTGTGTTTGTGCCGTGTGTCACCCAGGCGGGAGAGGAGAGAGCGCGGTTTTGTGCTTTGCTGTAATTAATGGGTGGCACCGAACGCTGAACGAGACCCAGCTGCGAGGGAGGGTAATCCTACATGATTTTGACAAGCGGCTGTTGTTCTGCTATCTTTGCTTTTGACGTGAACAGCATCAGGGCCGGGCTGTTACTCTGATGGATGCTGGGCTCAGCGAGGCTGGTACGCAGGACAGTCGCTATATTCTTGGGTGGAAAAGGTGCTAAAAGATTTATTAAGGCTCTCTATTGTTTTACCTACTTTGAGGTACCAGGCATAAGCTGCTGGAAGGCATCTTCTGATTACCCAAAGAGTAGCTTTTCACTGCTGATGGGGATATATTATTTGATATTTATTGCCTAATTTATTTCTGGACCATTATCTGGAATGCACAATTGCAGGGGCTTGTTTTATGAGTTTTTTGATTTATGAAATAAAAGAAGGCTTTTGTTGTTCTGGGAATATGAATGCACAGAAGGAACCTTTTGGGCTGGGTAAAGAACCACTGCTAATTAAAATGCTGCTTTATCATCACGTTGGCTCTTGCTTTGTGCTGTTTCAAATTGCCTAAGACGCCTGTTAATGGAGCCAGGCGCTTAAACACTGCCGGAGCGCGTCAGAGTTTGGTTTCCTTTTCGGTCTGCTTAGGGAACAGCTATTCCTTCCTCCTCCTGTTGACTTTTTTGGGGGGACATTCAGGTTTGTGACTTGGGAAGGGGAGGTGATTTGCCATTCCCTCTTACCCCATGACAATGTAGTTTTTTAGGAGACTTTGGAAAAGAAGCTTGTCGCAAACTTCTGGGAAATTGGCTGAATCTTGCTTATTTTTATGTGCATCGTCATCTTCAAACAACCTTCTATACAACCTTATAAGATTTGGGAGGCACAGGTTCTCTGTACAAAACCCTTGCTGATCTTTTCCCCAATGCAGTTTTCTATCTGTTTGGGTGGGGGGTGTCAGCCGTTCAGGTCTGCACCACCCTCGATCCCTCTGGAAGCCCGTCACAACATCCCCGTTGTCTTTGCCACCTTTCATTCCCGCGTCATCCTCAGAGCTGTGTTCAACAGTGGCAAAGCAAATAAACGGGGAAGAACCCGCTGTTGACCGAAGCGCCTTTTCGGTTTGAGTCACAGCGAGAGCAGGAGTCGTCTCTAATCCATGTTCCTGCTGGCCAAACACAGACTTCACACACACGAAATTCTTCCTGGAGCTCTTCATTACTTAGCTCAATAGCGTTTTTTTGGTTCTAAGATGCTTACGCCGTATAGGAGGCTTTTCTGAACGGAGCACAGTAGCAGTCGACCATTTAATTACATGGAAGCCTTGGTGGAGTGGTGTTGGGTGGTTCCTTTCTGGATGCTGCTTAAGCAGTTCTTGCTCTCCTGCAAACCAGGAGTTACTCATGGCATTTGGGTTTGCTGCAGTGTAATTACCGAGTGGAAAGGCAGGGGCTTGTGTTTATGTGGTGCCGACCTAGACGTAAAGTCCTCGGAATCTGCGGGGTCCTTCAGGGTTTCTTAGTGTCAGAAAACCATGAGTGCTTTCGAAGAGGAAGAAAAATCCGATCCGTCAGTCTTGCCTTGACCAGCCGTTATTCTGACAGAGTTTTCCATCGCTCCCTTTGGCTTCTGAGCCAGGGCTTCGGCAAGGAGGAGCTGTCATAGGATCGATGGAGCCTCCTCCAAAGGAGCAAGTGCGGTTGGGGGCTGCTCAAGTCTGGGAACGTGGGTTTTTATCCCTGGTTTTGCTGCTTCCTTAAGCATTAAGCTTGGGAAGTTCCTGCTTCCTTACTGTCACTGGGATAACAGCTGGTGAAATGGGATCATGAACCATGTGGGCTTCTCCGGCTGAAATCCCTGTGGAGCTGCAAAGCTCCATCTCTGCCTTGGTGGGATGTCGGGTAATTGGCAAGTGCAGGCTTTTGCCAAATAGATGCGTCATGTTTCTTGTAATCTGGGTTGCAGTGTTTCCCAGTTCCCCAAGGGACTCAAAAGGCCAGTTTAAATTGCTCGCAGCCAGGTTTTTTTCCCAGTGTCCAGTTTTTAAGCAATCCTGCGGTGACAAGGCCAGGCTGTGTTTCATGACAGAGGTTTCCAAAAGCGACCCGAGATGCTGACCAGTATTTCTAGCTGTGCCCCTTTAAGACACCTTAAAGGAATATATTGCTCTGTTGTTTTCTACCAGTTGGCTCTTAATGTTTTTATCTTTAGTTTTTTAAGTCTTATCCCTTTAAAATGGCTCAAAAGCTCTCCGTAATCACTAGTGCATTTTGCAGAAATGTCGCTCCGGGGCCGTGCCTCTGCTGCAGGGTGCAGCGCAGCGCTCCGAGGAAGAAACCTCCCGTTAATATTGCAATATTGCCTCGTCCCTAATTAGGGTCTGATCTTGCAGGAGTGAGCACTGGGGTCCCCTGCAGGGGTGCTGGGCGGTCTTTGCTGGAACATCCTGGCTCCTAAAAAAGAAATAAAATAAAAAGCTCGTGTGCTGTTGCACGGTACTTCTTGCACATTTAGCAGCGGAGATGGTATAAAACGTAACTCTTATTGGACTTGCTAATTTATTGGCACCAGCTATAATGAGATAAAATGTACATAAATATGGATTAAACTCTTTATCACTCTATTAGTCAGCATGATGGTAGCAAGGTTCATTAAAGGGAGTTACTCATTTTCAGGAACTCGCAGTAATGCACTTTTTTTTTTTTTTTTTTTGAGAAAGATAGTTCAAATATTCATAAACCTGTGGAGCGTGCCATTTATTAGCCTCCCTCTCCTCTCTGCTCTCCTGATGTGTGTTTAATTGTCCTGAGTCTCTTCTGAAGTTCTTGCACTGTTTGAAAAAAGCTTTTTTTGCAAGATAGGGGTCTTCCCTACCCTGACCCGCAGATAAAAATGATGCTGTTCTAAAAATGAAAAAGGGAAGCGGCTCACAGGTCAGCTGAAAAACGGGGAGATAGTGATACTGAGATCAAAGTGGTGTTTTTTACACCGGTGGTTCTGGTCCAGAGGTTGGCGAGAACTGCACTCACCTCGCAGCTCGAGCAGGGCTCAGCGGCGAGGGGCCTGGCTCAATCCTCCCCCTCAATCTGTTGAATCCACCAAGGTCTGCTGGCACATGTGCCTGGTGGGTGGTGGGTGGAGGACTTTTACAGGGCTTGCCTTGCATGTCCGAAGCGCCGGGGAGGAGTCGTGTGTGGTGGGAGGGTGGCCCTGAGCGTGGCACGCTCCGGCGGCTG